TAAGGGCTTTTAGTAGGAATAACATGATGAACTAAAACCTTTTAATAAATTTCAGCATTCTCAATCCTATCAATTCTGGTTATATTGACAACAGCTCTGGCAGAAATGCCGATCTAACCAAGACAAAAACTGCAGTATTTTTCATTTATTCTTCCATCTTTCTCTAACTCTTTCTTTCATGTGTCTCAAACAACTACCCAATAAATCCAACTATAACCTGTATTTTCTGGTTGTATTTTAATAAAGAGAATGAGAAGTAATATAATGCCATTATACCCTCACTTAAACAACAAATGCAACTGGGGGCCTAAGAATTTTCCACAGTACTGTACTTCCCAAAGACCCTTCATGCAATTTGACTCAATCCCCTATTATTACTATGGCAGAATTCCTCATTGTTATAGTCCACTTTATACATTGTTAAATACTGCAATTATGTCTCAATTAACTTACATTTGCTCATTTGGTTAAATGTTTACAGACTGGTAGGTTAGAGTTGGTTTTAGTAAATAATAAGTTGACTTGGTATTTACATAGTCAGCAGCATATTGGTGGAGCATCAGAATAAATGACTGGCAGATATTAAGCAGACAATCTACTAATACACTACTGACTGCTATAGATAACATGTAGTTGCAAAGTTACTCGGTAGAAAGTGGACTATTCAAATAAAATGTTAACAAAAACAAGTCCAGCCCTACAAATAAAATAGAAAATCTGTAACTGATAAAGTCATTGGGCCCTATCATACACTCGGCGCAAGGTGGCACAAGGCGCGACGCAATTGTTGTTTGCTAGTTTCAGCTCGACGCAAGAGTCATTTTTAGCCATGCTGTTTAAAGGGTCACGAAACACCAAAACACATTTTTTGAGCTGTTGACAGTCGTATGTGTGTCCCACACTGCTAAAAACACTATTAGGACACCTATGTTTCACAAAAAAGTGAAAATTGTTTGTTTTTGCGTTATTTCAAGCAAATTAGTACTTCCGGTTTGAAACTAATTTTTGAAGCTGCGTCACGGCCATGACATAATAGCGTTGTATTCCAGCGTGCAGACTGGGCATCTGTGCCAGAGTATGTCTTATTACGTCTTACAGTGTGATGCATTAATGCATGAGTAAGGCTTGGTTCAAACCAATCAGCGCGCTCTATTGTGCAACTTCATTAATATTCATTACTGTCACAGTGCTTAGACTACAGACACACCACGTTGTGTTGGCAAAACAAGCGTGAAGTGTTGCTTTTATAGTTTGCTACAGTTAAGTTTCGTTTTCATTTTCTCTCTGTGAGAGCTCAGACTCACGTGTGGATTAACAGTGTACGCGACGCGCGACAACAATAACTTACGTGTCTAAGGAGGAACATTGTTTACCTGAGAGCTGTTCTCATCTGCAAATGCTGAGATCCGGATTCGCTTGTAGTATTCTCTTCATAAAGACGCGGCTCTAGTTGCTGGTGATTGTCCTGTCTCTACAGATTTGGTAAGTGAGCGAGCAGTGCTCTTTGTTTATTCAGTTTTTTTTTTTATCGCACCACAACCAAACTTTAACCTCGTGTAGGATTTTCACCGCATTTTGTGACCGGAATGACACACGCGACTTTCTGACGCTACCTGCCGTGTGCATCTAAGTTGAGTTTTTTTTTCTCTCATTCGCCAAGCGATATCAAACATTGCATGAAAAATACACGCTTAGGGCAGTTCCTCGAATCAAATATCTCGTTTGTCGCGAGGGGCATGAATGAATTCCCTGAATGAAAGAGCCAAACTGCAGTTAAAGTCCACCATTTCATAATTTGGCAAATAATTCGACATGTCCATGTAGGTTAAACACCATCACTTTCTCCTGTGTGTTTGTGTGTATTTTGACTCTGAAACTTGCGCGTGCCCAAATAGACACTCCCACACCATCCCACTTTTCTTCCTCCGACACTCCCCCCTCAACAGAGCTGGACATGCCCACTTTTCTGACTTTTTCCAAAGTAGAGGTGTGAAAACACCCTGCTGAAACGAGGGGGTTTCATGGCCCTTTAAATAGCAAACGCATTTGTGCTCATATGTGTGCCCATAGGCGTTCTGATCTAATAAAGGAGGGATGTTGAGGCGCATTGCTGACGTGTTGCTATTTTGAGAAACTTAAATAGACGGTTCAATAGATTAGATCAAAGCTGGTCTATTGTCCAGCGCAGAGCGTGTTAGTTGTGCACCTCGCTTACACATTGCCTAATACACACATGATGTACAGCAATACAAAAATATTTTTACAAATGAAAAACAATTAAAGGATTAAAATATAACAAAAAAATATTATTTTCTATACATAATTATAAAACCATACTTTTATGGATTTTTCATCTCGAGGGGCTTCTCAGTCTATTCGTGAAGATTTGCTTTTGTATAATGTTATCATTATCAGCAGTATTATTTATCATATCCATATTTGTATTTGTTTTATTAAAAACAAGCTTAGATTTGTCCACCTGTCAGGTTTTAGACCATACGGGGCATAGCATGTGTGTTTAGACATAACTTTGACCACACTTCGTTATTATTGTTCATTTATTCATTTATTTCCCCTGGAAATTAGAACTGAATTTAGAAATAGTTTTGAAACAAATCTTTGCGCTTAACAAACAAAATTAATTATGTAGGCTAATGGATGTCTGTGCGTACAAGAAGTTTTCATATCCACGAGAAAGCGAAAGTAAACAATGAGGGGGCTCATCTCTCATTCTCGCGCTGTAGATGGTCTGTTTAACTGTTTTCCCTTTAGTGAAGTGTTAAATTTTTCCACTTACAAAGTCCGCCATGTAAATAGCAATTGTGCTATGGCGGAGCGCAACTGGCTTTTAAAGGGAATGGGAGATGAGACTTGGATTGGTTAATTCTCATAACACACCGAATATAATTAAGAGAATAAGTTCAAATCTGTTAGACCTTGCGCCACGGCGCAAAGCGGATTTTTGCATCCTTAAAATAGCAAAAGTATTCTGACACGCCCTTTGGACTTTGGGCATGGATCGTCAAAATAGAGCCCATTGCGTCACTGCCGCTGAAGCCTGAGCTGAACCCTCTCAGAAAAATCACCAGCAATCATATGTTCAACTCACGTTAAATGTGAGAAATTCTGGAACATTTTTATGAGAAATATATGCGTGATCATGGGTTTCACATTAAAAGGTTCCAAAACCAAGTTTCACTTTTCCCATGTGATTTTAAAGTGTGATCGCACATGTTAAGCCCATGCGACGCTTTTCTGCCAGGAAAATCTGTAGAAATTGGCAGTAGTTGGTCCACCTGGATTCTTAGCTTTTTAAATGCTGTTTGAGAATAAGAAAGACGATTGTGCCAGATTTGTTACTGATTTGACAATATGACGTTTATTGTGACTCTTGTGAGTTGTTGAAATATCAAGATTCTGGTTTTGCATGCTCAAAATATAGTCGCCAAGTGAGCAGCCTTTTCTTAAAAGTAATTTTGACTGTAGATGGATTAATTAGTAATTATATACATCAGTTTTAGTCCTCAAACCTGATGCATCTGTCTGTAAACAACTGTACATTAGGAAAAAAAGGTATTTTATACTGGAAACACTTTTGATAGTACTCATTTTACATTATTTATCATGCGTTTATAACAACATTATCAGACAGTTTCTTATTTGATATGGAATGACTACAAAAGCCCACCTTTTTGTACACCTTGCTATGTTTTGTGGGACATATAAAAACAACACGCTGCATTCATCAATATATTTAATGAATTATTAGCCAGTGCATTGTTTAAAAAGAATTAGCATTATTTGATATCTCATATCTAAATCTTTAATTTTCAAAAGAAACTAGAAACTATTTATTAAAATTATTTGCAGACCTCAAATAACCCCAAAATTGTTAGACCAGTATAGTGCAATAATATTGGTATGTTTATCATTACTGTAATTATTACTGTACTGTAAATATGAGATGTAATGTAGAATTTGAAGATCAGTTCAGAGAAGAGCACAGGCCTAGAAGTAATTAGTGACACGTACAGACTCATTATGCTACTGCAGATGCAAGCTGAAAGACAAGAAAGCCAGTTTTAAACTGGTTTTGCGCATACTGGTATAACAAAGTCTAGAATAAGAAAGGATTTCATAACAGGGTGTGGTACAGTAAATTACACTAGTCATGTAGAGAATCCAAATGTACTTATTCTTAAAAAATAATAATGATCTGCATGAACACTGAAAATAGCTCTTGCCACTGATTTTGTAATACTACTGCCACAAAATACAATACCAAGAGCATTTCAAACTAATGCACAAAGGTAATTTCTCCTCTCATTCAGTATTCTCTGGTTAATACATTTGTTGTGAAACCTTATTATCTGAAATGTTCTAATTTATTATTTATTTTATAGGTTCCTCAGTGTATAAAAAGTGGATATTATTTGTATTATACTATGATATTAGTATAATGATTATTATTAACACATTAAGTTAATTTAATTTTAACATGATATTTACTTTTGATGTCTTTTGTTGTTATAATTACCAGCATATGACAAGCAGAATACAATTGAAAAACTCCCAATCAAACTCTCTAAATTTCACCAACAAGTGCTTACAACATGGAGACTAATTTATAAACACAACTTCTGCCCACATAGTTTTCTTTTTTGGAATAATACCAATGTCTTGTATAGAAATAAGTCACTATTATTTTATAACTTTTGTTAAGAACTAAAATTGGAAAAATGTGCGTAATACATTGGCATGTATTTCTACCCTCTCCTCTGTTTTTTATTTTCTTTTTCTTTTTATTAAATTTCTTTTTTTCATTTATTCTATTCTTTTTAAGAAATGTAAAGTGATTTTGTTGTATAAGAAAACTTCTTGTTAATAATAAAAAAGAAAAGCTGAACCCCCCAAATAAACCTCTGATCACTTCTCGTTTGATTAGTACAGTCTGAAGCGACGAGGCTCTGCATTTCCTCAACCGAGACGCACCAGCCAGACAGAACCAGTCGATCGCAGAGGCCTCCCCACTGTCTCCCCCCTCTTTGTGTTTATATATGTTTTTTAAAATCTTTTTTGAGGGAAACTGTCAAGCCCTATCCCAAAGAGCAGGGACCAAAGAGCAAAAATAATGTACGCGTTCGTGCGTTTCTTGGAGGACGATATGTGCTACGCGTTACCTGTGTCAGACGTGAAAGATTTCCAGCCTGTGCACAAAAGAGATTTTGATGATCAGAAGGTGTATGTGGTGCTGAGAGGCGCAGGCCAGCCTGCCAAAGCACACATCCTCGCCCTGGCAGGTGAGTTCTGCTCTTCTCTTTATGTTATATACAATGATAACCTTTATGCATAACTGTATCATTCGTGACGGTGGTGTTTAATGTTTAACAGATCCTATGAAATGTCAGGCAACTTTGTCAATTTTATTTTTCCTTTTTTTCCGGTGCATTAAAATATGCGAAGCATCATAATCATGACATGATATGAAAAGTTATCACATAAAATGTCATTTAATTTTCACGTGAGCTACACGAACATGCGTTATGAGAAGATTTAACGATAAAATCTGCGATGTTTTGATATGATCAATACATGCAGACGGAGAAAGTGTCAAATTTGTGTTTTTAGCTTGCCGTGTTAGCGGAGGTTGTTTTAGACAAACTTGTCTATGTTTACTTTTGACAAGCACGACAGTCTGATTCTAAACTAACGACACTGCCTGTCGAATAAGCAATGACAAGTTGAAACGAAAATAAGAGGGTTTTAAAAGGAGGCTCAAGATGCTAAGCGGTTGTTAGCTTGCTGCTAACGTTTCCTTCATTTGTCGGCAGTGCACAGAAGCTGAACAGCTACTAAATACATCAAATTATATCCCTGACAGCATGTCTAAACTGCTAACGATACGAAGAAGTAAATATGATAATCAGAAAGTCATGTATTGTAATGTTTGTTGTGTTTGTATTAAGCAGCTAGGTTACTCTCATCCTATTAGCTAGCAAGATGAAGGTTATTTTCTGTCGCCTTTATTTTTTACGCCCTTCATTTTGTTTGAAACCTTCCGTCAGCATGGTGTACTGTTAAATTATAACCAGCATATCTTGCTATAAGTATTGCAGTATACGTGGTTTAAATCAAAGTTGGTGGCAGATCTGTTATCATGTGACACTTCCTCCTTTAGTTGGGGGAAAAAGAAAAAAAAAGAAAAACTGGCCACTTTCACTGCTGCCACTCTTCAATCAGGACCGTTTAGATACATTACTAATCTACATGTGTGGCTTAACCTGCTCTTACAACCCTGATCTCGTTAGGGACAGAAGTCTGGAGTTCAGTACAGCTTTTAAATCAGTTTGCATGAACTTAAGTAGTCTGCAATCTGTTGCGGCCGACCTTGAGGCTCATGTGCCACACCTGGCCAATGTAAAACTTTTAATACATTGTTAACACTGTAGATCTTAGAATGATGACTGAGGGCATTTTCCACTTGGCATGATAAGAGGTTAGATAGGCACATTTATATGGTCCGTCTTCTTCAAGCGGCCTTGGTGGCTTGCCACTGCATCAGATGCTGACAGCTGTGACGACCCCGGCTGTCAAAAGCATATTGATGCTGCACCGTCAACGTCGCTTTGCAAAGTTAAACGCTCCATTAATAGTTTATTGCAACAATAGCTAGTCATCTATGTCATTACAAGGTTACTGGGAAACTTCTCCACCACACTCGTAAAATGTTTCTCTTGCTGTTTTGTCCTTGTTTTAACCGTATCATCATTTCTGAGTTGAAATATGATTTGCACTTCTGACGCATTGTGTTTTTTTTTATTCTAGAAAGCATTGAGGAATTTGAGCACAGTATTATGCAAAAGAAGATGAAAATACCCAAGATGTCGAACAGGAACACAGTGGAGAATCATTTTGGCGAGGAGAGAATGCCCCTTAGACATAAAAAGGTCTGTATACCCGTTTTTTTAAGAGGGGTTTTGAGATTTGGAGGACCCGTAAGACGTTTGAAAGCTTCTTGGATTTGTAGATGGGGAACATGTGGGCAGATAAGGAATGGCTCAACGGGGATTTTCTACTGATATTAAGAGTGTACTTTATATTCTGCAAACAAAATAGGAAGAAAAAAATACTAGAGCATGTTTTGGTACTTATGGAATTTGTCCTGACATTTCAAGCCTGTTTTGTTTAATCCCACAGTTTTAGTAAGATACTAGAAAGGCCAAGTGTTGTTGTGTATTTTTAGGTTTGGCACTTCTTAAATGCGCAATCCGTAAAGTTTATGAGCAAGTTTTGTGTTCTTGCAGTTCACACCATAATTACTACTTAGGCTGTTTACACTGATAAGTTTTAGGTTTTTAAACGGCATTTCAGAATGAAAATAATCCGCATCCACACTGGCATTTCACCTAGTGTTTCTGAACAGCTGTCTGTCCACACCATATGCAGAAAACGCAAGTCACATGACCACACACATGTAATTTCTATTCATCTTGTTGTCTATATCTAACGACATATTCCCCGACTTAGGTCTTTTGAATGTATTATTGTTCTCAGGTAACGTGTTTTGTATGAGCACAAAGTTAAGTTAATATCTTAACCGCGTACACTGATTCTGCACATTTGACTGTTTGTGTTGTCAGAAAGCGTAATTGTAGCAAAACTTAAGCATTTTAGATCTAAAATGTACTAGTGTAAACGAGGACTTAGTCTGAGCTTGGTGTTTAATAAGGTTAGTCTATAAATTTATTTCTGTAGAATCTTTTACAGTTAAGCTTTGTTATCAGTAGGGCCAGACAGAGTCTGTGGACATTTTTTGCTATTTCTGCTGAGAATTTAGTAAAAAATCTGCTGATTTTTGGGTAATCATTTTGGGAGTATTGTAACTATAAACCTTATATTTAAATTTAAAATAATACATTTTTAACTTGCATTTAATGTGTACAATGCAAACCCAATTAGATCCACTTATGTGGTAAACAAAGCAAGTCTCTCATGTAATATACCTACTTAAAGACAGAAAATATTACTGTAAAAAATTTGATGTAAGTAAATTATATAAACATTTTTCTATTAGTCAATAATATTGCTGAAATTAATAATAAAAACACTGAATTAATATAAATTTACATGTTTACACAAGTAAATAAATATACTCAATGATGGGCTAAAAACTGCGGATTGCTGCCCATACAGATTCTGTGTGGGTCTAGTTATCACTGGTATCATTTTAATAATTTAAAGGTAGCTTGGGAGTATGTAGGTATTGTATATTGTATGTTTATTGGTTCTGTTGAATGGCTATCGAGCAATCTCAAGGTTGACCTTTCTACAGAGTTTTCTTGCAACTGTGCTCTGAAAAGGAAGTAGCGTCAGATGTTGTGTTCATAGATTCATAACCATGTGAATGCAAGCATATAAGTAGCATTTTGTGTACTAAAGGTTACTTCTGGTAACCTTTGCTCTATAAAAACATACATAGCAGGAACATATTTTATCTAAACATGTCCTCATTACATAATTTTAAGAATGCAAACTATCATGGTTTTTAGGGACAGTTGTAGAAACTATTTGGTTTTTTTTAATATAGTTTGCTAAAAAATAGTGAGTTTCTGAACCTATATTAAAAATAGCAAGGGTGCATGTTTATTTAAGTTATACCATACTTGCATACATCATTATTTTTCAGTGTCTGCCATAAACAAGTTATTCTGTGGTTTTGAGTTGGCTTTTGAGTCCAGTATAGATAAATGCCCCATTCAAGAATTTGTAAAAACTGCCTTGCATTCATTCTTTTTTTCAGTTCTTGCATTCCATGGGAATCTAACTCATATCTGTGCCCTACTGTTTGAGCTACTGGCTTTTTGATAAAGTTGTGGAGAGTCATGTGTCCATGCATTCATCATTGGGATATCACAGTATTCATTTTTATTAAATGCTCTTTGTAGACTGGAAGTTCTGCTAAAAAAAATCAGTTACAGTTTTCTTAAGGGGAAAAAAGTCTAAACTATTGCTCTACAGGGCGCCCTGTTACTTGCATATTACTATGTAATGTTAAAGGCTAGACTTCACAACTGAGCCCAAACTATTGCATTTATTTGCTGTTTGTTTTTAGCTTTCACAATTAAAAAAAATAAATAAATGCACATTGACGTGACGTCTAAATCAAATAATACAATTCTGTCTACGTAGTTATTTAAAAATATATATATTTACTTTGTGGCTTTCTTTCAAAACAGTTTTGTTTGAGTGTACATTAATTTGCTAAGACATTACTGATAGATTATGTGATATATCAGTGCTTCCCACACATAGACTTTACTTGGATGGGCTGACCAGGTATATTAACGGCTGCCCAAGTATATTTGGTGACATTTGTGTTTTTTTTTTTATTTATATCATCCTTTTACACTTTTTGTATTCACCCAATAGCCAAACATTCGCGATCGATTAACCAGTGAAAAATCTCCTCTTGCCCTACACGTTTCCTACTTCTTGTTGTGTGTGCACAAGAATTGTCAATCTCACGTGCTCTGCAGAGACCCACAGAGACTTGCCTTTTGGGGACTTAAAAATGCATCTGTCTGGCGTTTCTAAATCTCTGCTTTTTGTTTTGCTTTCTAAGCCGTGGCCTTTTTTTTTCTTGGCCTGATTTACTTTCGCCTATTGACTTTTTCAATGTAGATTGTCAAAGCAGCTTAACATAGAAGTTCTAGTGAACTGAAACTGTCAGTCCAGTTTTCAGAGTTGAAGTTCAGTTTAGTTCAGTTCAGTGTGGTTTCAATTTCACTGCTAAAAGTCCAAACACTGAAGAGCAAATCCATTGATGCGCAGCTCTACAAGTCCCAAACCAAGCAAGCCAGTGGCTACAGTGGTGAGGAACAAACTTCACCAATTGTATATATAGCTAGATGTTTCAAAGCAGGTTCCACACATGCGCTATGAACAACAGCTCTTTTTGGTCTGGGCACATGTTTTTGTACCTTACTGTATTGTGTGTACTAGAATAACAACTTGAATCTGAAGGAAAACTCCAAATGCCCAAAATGAAGAGTAAACAATTCTTGCACTGTATGTTGTGTGGTATTTGCACTGCTCAATAAGTTGAATCTTGTGGTGCAGGTCCAGTCACAGGAGCATCAGCGGGCCACTTCAAACTCCTCAAAGAGCCTGGCTGCGGTTGTGGCTCGACTGGAGAGGAACGCAGTCAACTCATGCACAGAGGGAGAGGAGCTGGACAGACTCACAACAGAGGAAGAGGAAGAGCAGGACGAGGCCGTGGTTCCTCGTGTCCTGTACGAAGAACTGGTGCACAGCTACAGGCAGCAGGAAGAGGAAATGAGACGTCTGCAGCAGGAACTGGAGCGCACACGCAGACAGCTGCTGCAGCAGGCCAAGAAGCTGAAAGAGTACGGCAGTCTGCTGACAGAAGTCAAGGAGCTGCGCGATTTCAATAGACGCCTGCAGGATGTCCTGCTCATGAGGCTCGGCAGCGGTGAGATTTGCATGAATCGTACTTACTAGGGGATGTCATGCTAGAATTTCATAGTTCCTAGAACTGTTAGTGAAAGTTGAAATCATTTTAGATATAAAAACTCCTTTTGGTGGGCCTGAATTAGCTTCTGCTTCACAGTAGTGCCCCTTACCTAGGATAAATTCAAATGAGTTGCAGAATATTTAGTTTTTCTTTAAGTGTTATTATGCATATCTGAAAAAATAAGGCTGTTTTTGATTTGCTTCTAACACTGATTCTCTTTGATTGTATGATGGCTTCAAACTTGGCTCCTGCGATCTAAATTGAAAGTTATAAGCATCTATAACCCCACCCCGCATCAACCCCTTAAATTTGATTATCATTCAGCATATCAAGTACTTAATTAATATTTAGCGTATCAAGTAATTAATGTCATGTAATTATGTTATTAACCTAATTACACGCATCAATATTATGCTGGGAAATTCCACAAATGAAGGGGATTGCTCCGATTGACTTTACTAAATATGTATTTAAAGTTTTATAGTACCGTATTTAATTGTATAAGTCAATGGCTTTCAACCTGCAGGATGTCTCTAATGGAGTGTTCGGGTTTCATACAAACTACATAAACATGTAACAATGGGCTCTCTGCACAGCTATCGTTTTTAGCCAATGATAAACTTCTGGTGAAAAGTTTACGTGACTCTTTTTATTTTAATTCGGGTTATTTTACAGCATCCGTGTTGTAATGTAATTAAAAAACAATCAGTTAAGTAGACTTAAGCTTTTATTTAGTTGTTCAAGCATTAAACGAGATGAAAGACCATACTGTGTAAACGCTAGCACTGTCATTAGCAGCAGGCTAGCTCAGAAACTCTATTAAAAATACTGGAGTAAAATAAATTAACATGATGTGGTAAAACTAAATTTAATGCTGTGCTTCTTGTCCAGTCTGAGACCCGCTTTATATTGTATATCTATCAGGCAGTAAAGATCTTTGATTTTTAAAGAAATCAGATCTTAAGCGTGGCAGTTTTTGTAATGACAAGACAGTTTACCGATTTGGATAGGGCTGGCTGAATTAAAACTTTATCAATTTAAGAAGATTAAAAATAAAACTCAAGTAAACAATGACATTTTTTATAAGTTAAATGTTTGAATAAAAGAAAAAAATAAACAAAAACTGGTATAAAACAATTGTATTAAAATACATTTCAATGATATAAATGTAAAAAATGCAAATATGTAAGAACATTGATTAAATCCAAATTGAAACAAATAAATACAAATAATAATAAACTGGGAAAATTGTTAAATAAAAAAGTGCAAGTAAACAAATAAATAAATAAATAAATAAATACTGTATGAGGGCTGCACGATATTGAAAAAATCTGGCATTGCAATATTGTTTTTTTTTTGCGATTTTTACAAGTTTCAATATGAATCAATTTCACTAGATAACTTAAATAGCTCTGTTTAGGAAAAAAAATGCTTATTTTAGATTGATTGGGCTGATTTTGTAAGGGAAAAATATATAATCGAACAAAAAAAAAAGTCTGTGAAAAAAAAAATGAACTGTGCTTCATGGTTTTCCGCAGAGTGGAACAGTCTTCAGGTACAGAAATTGAATAATAAAATGTAAAATAATACTATTTTGTCTTCATAATAATTTTTTTTATTAAGATTATATATATATTAATATAATTAAGAATATATATACTTTATTAATGTTACAAATGTACCTTTTTGTGCCTGAATGTTTTAAACTCTCCTGAAATGCCTTTAAAACACATGCAAATTAGAAACGCTCAGTTTGGTTATCAGTCATTCGGTTTTTAGTTATAGTTATACTTCAAAATATTGATAGTAGCCCTATATTGTACTATAAATAATAAAACATTATTAGTAACCACCTAAAAAACGTTGGACCCATTTACCAAACCAAAAAAACAATATTGATACCTTTTAAATATTTAAAGAATGACATCAGGATCACATTATTTGGGGGTTGTCTTAGAGCTCCTTGTCTAACAGCTGCAGTCCACAGAAATCCATTTTGCACGGACATGCTTTTGTGCCCCATATACCGTTTCTTAATTATTTCTCCATTTTAGTAGATGTTCAAGAGAGACTCTCTTCAGTCGTTATGTTTACTGTTTTCAGTACAGCTAATTGCACATAATTAGTATGCTAAATTGACAATCCTAAATTTGTACCACCAACAGTACGTTTCCTACATAACACTAAGCTGCAAGGACTGATGGACACTCAAAATAAGAGTGTACAGACTATATGCTTAAAAAGGACAGGGTGTCCAGAGCACTGAGGCCAGTGTCCCGGCCAGCTGCTGTGTGTGAGAGAGTGCGCTGGTGGAGCAGGCTGAAGATTAGACCGGCCAGGGTCCTTTAGGGTCAGACGTGCAGTGCACTGACCAATATTAAATCTCAACAGATACATTAGAGCTTAGTGCGGCCTGCCACCAAGCCAGCTTACCGAGCTAAAATGACCCGGTTGTCTTTAAGGCACGGGAGAGCCATGTTTCAGGCAGCGCTCCAGTAGGAGTGGACCAGGACTTACCGCAGCCCGCACTGGACTGCATTCAAAACACTGTCATTAGAGAGCAGCGGCCGTCTGTCTTCAACTCTTTCTCAGGATTGCACTCATCCTTTCTCTTGTTAAATTGTGCTTTACTCATGTTTTGCTTTGCTGTATGCAGAGCCGATGCATGACAATGGCACACAGACAATCAAACCAGAGGTGGTGGAGCCCATCAGTGAGCCACAGGAAGCATGTCAGGAGGAAGCAAACACAAGCTCCACCCACTCACCGTCCCCGAGAACCGTCTACACCTTCAATGATGGAAAAGTACGTACTCATCTGTGTTGCTTTTTAATGGTAACACTCATAATTCACAAAGCTCACTACCACTTACAAGTTTGGGGTCAGTAGGATAATGCATATAGACCCTTTACACAAGACTGTTATGCACAAGACTTGTTTAACACGAAGTCCGCAAGTCCTTACTCTTGAAAGGACTTGCGTATGTATTGTATCATCTTTGCATCAAATGACAAAAAACGAATTACTGCTTATGCGAGGTAATATCTATGAACAGGGTAGTAATTTTGACGTTGTTCTCTCTTCTGGCTGCCATCTCACACATTTTTTTTTATTTTTTCTGAAAGTCTTGATAACACTATTATTGAGTTTTTCTTTTAGTATTTGAGCAAATACGATTGTAAATAATTTAATTGTTGTACTCATTCACTGCGCTTTAAGTTTAGTCAACTATGACTACTTTTGCTACTGAGAAACCGAGAAATGTGAAAAGGGTCTATTAAGCATTAAGGTTGGGTTGATAGACGATGCCATCATTCATCGCCAATGACCGATAGACATCACCATGCTGAGCCGGCATCGTGATCATCTCCCCCTCCCTTGTCGCACCAGCAACGCGCTCGTGAAAAAAAAACACACGGCCCCATATACACTAATATGTCTTAGATTTAAAATGGCATTTTAGAACAAAAGCGATCCACGTCCACTGCCGTTTCACCTAGCAAGTCCTCCTTCCACACTATACCGCTGAAAATACACATCATGTGACCATACACGCACACAAACACTCTACATCAGGCGCTGAAGTATAGACTATGCGCACGTCTGACTCTGAGCTCCAGCAGTCACCCCAGAGAACAGTGCACATCGGACCCTTTATCGAGGATGTACCACTGGATCGCGTCTCACTATAGTTGTTACACGTGATATTTAATTAATCTTGTCTTTATCTGACGACTTTTCTGTCATTTGAATCTATCAGGTAACTTATCACAGCGTCAGTACGCTGCTTCAATCTTTCACTTTTCACGCGTGTAGCAAGTTTGTCGATGGCATTATAATGACACAGATCACTGCCTATTCATGGCAGAGTCCCGCGGAAAAGTGATTGACTAATTTGATTGATTAATTTGTGTGTAACTTATCTTTATTTATGATTTGGTTATGGGTTAAACAAAGACCATGCGGGTCAGGTAGTTGAAACGGTAGGCTACAAATAATTAATGCGTGATTAATTAATTTATTATTCATAAATTATTAATTCACCACTGCCTACAACAATGATGCCATTGCTATGTTTCACATTGGTCATCATACGATGCCAAATTGGTCAACATCACCCAACCCATTCAAGCATTTAATGTGTGTGTGTGTATGTGTGTATGTTGTGGAAGAATTTTATTTCAAATAAATTAACCAAAACAGACTATAATAGCAATTGTTGTAATTAAATGTAGAATATGGTTTTTAATTTTCTTTAAGTCTTAACATCTTTTTAATGAATTACGGCCTTAAAAAGTTCTAAAATCTGATGTCTTAAATTCATAAGATAAATTAAAAAAAATATGTAAGTTTAAAGAGAAGTGCAAGCATAATTTCATCAGTAAGGATGTAAAGATACTAAAGTGGATAAATAAAGTGTAATCCTACAATATGAAAGATAATTGCTTTTACTTTTGAATTATTATTGTTTATTATTATAAAGTATATATAAACTCTTGTAGTTATGTAAGTCTAGAGAGAACACAAAAGCATTGTCATAGAGGTATGAAAATGGGTCTAATCAGAGGGTAAAGTTATTTCCACATTCAAGTTGTTGAATCAGAGCTATTCAAGCATATCTTAACGTATCTTACATAAAATTTAATTAAAGTCAGATGATTTTGTTTTTATTATTAGTTTAAAATGTTGCTATAAATACAACTCTTCATGTGTTCCTTAGTTGTACTATACATAGTTCTCAACACATTGCTCTATGGGTTTCTCTATGTTTCTTTTTTATATTTATATATTTTTTTGTTGGCCTTAATGTTGCCATCATCCTGGTGTAAATGTTTTTTTTTAAAAAGTAGACTAATTTCCAAAGAATAGTGTGGCATAAATAAATAGAAAATTTAAGAAATAATAATTATTATAACTGTTTTGACTCGCGATTCAACAAGTACAACCTTTGTGAGCAAAAAGGACCTTCAAAAACTCTTTAAAAGATTTAAAAAAAAGAAAACCTTGCCATTTCACGCTTTGGGAAAGTAGTAAAGTGTGTGTATTTACTATAACTTAAAACTCAATGCCTTTATTGAATGGTTAGTTGAAATGTCAATTTAATCAATCCGTCCAGTATAATGGAAGACGCTTATTGTTGATATTTACTTTTGTTACCGCATCCATGCATGATCTATGGCTATTATGAAAGAAAAAAGGCTCGACTTGACTCATTAGTTCATGCAGACCGCATTCCAGACGCCCTTGTAAGCTGTTGTACAAACAAGACAATTCAGTGATTTCGCTGATGGTCCTCGTGTTAGTGCGACTCAGTGTTTGCAGCGGTTTGGTTTGTATAATTGACTAGCGAAATCCCTTCCACAACCTTCCCCCCCGTCAGTCTCAAAGGGCCTTTTAACCAGAACGCTTGCTGTGATTTTGAGCCCTGTTAGCAGACATCGGGTCCGCGTTTTGCGTTCCTCCGCCTGCCTCGCATGACAGGGGGGAATTTGTGTTACATGCTGAAAGGGTTCTCAGTTCAAGCGTGAAGAACAAAAGCAAATTAGGCCCTTACACATACGCGCACATATCCGGCATTAATTATTTGTACCACAGGAATTGCTCAGAGTGACAGGTAGCCGTAGAAAAGCAAATCTCGTCTAAGTTAATAGCAGTGAAAAGCTTGTCTGCTGGACCAGGGCCTAAAGCACATTAGTTGCATTGGGGAAAAGCCCCTGGATTGAAGCCTGAAGACTGCTCAGGGTGACAAAGCAGAAGGCACATTACCTCAGCTGTTACTCACCAGCTGCCCATCAATCCACCTGATGGCTTGTTGGGCCGTGTTCTCCACGGTGTGGCTTAAAAGTCAACACTCGGCTCTGGCATCTGTCAAAACGCATTACCGCATTTAACGAACCCGGACACCTCTCTGAATTTATGTGCGGTGCGTCATTTGCATGTGGTCATCGGATCCTGGATCTCCAGGTGGAGGAAGTTTGTGGAGGTCCTAAAGTCATTGTTTACTCTACAAAAATTGGTCCCAAAAAAAAAAAATCATTCCTTAATGAGCTTTGTTATGCCTTACTCAAGAGCAATAATTAGCTGATGAAATACTTTAGAGCAGCGTAAAACTTGGCTTACACATATTTGGAAAGGTCATGAAGTGAATATATTTACAGTTAAAGTCCGTATTATTAGCCCCTCTGAATTTTTACCCCCCCCCCCCCTTTATTTTTACCCCAATTTCTTTTTAAAGGAGAAAAGATTTTTTTTTCTACACATTTCTAAACATAATAGTTTTATAACTCATTTCTAATAACTAGATTTTAGATTTTAAATATTCTCCTAAACACGGGGGCTGATAATTCAGGGAGGCTGATAAATCTCACTTCAACTGTATATATACACACACACAAATATTTCAGTCAGTTATTTTGCAAATAACAAATTGAAACAACTAGATAATGTTTATGGATGCATGTTTTTATGCCCAAAGTTGTGCCTGCATATTAAATTTTCTATGAAACTATTGGAGCTTATTTTTTGTTTATGGACTACAATTAAAGGACTGTAATTGGGCTTCTGAATTAAAAAAAAAAAAAGAAATAAATAAGGTGCTTTAAAGATTTTTCTGCCTTGCTTGTTTAACAATAAAATAACAAATTAGGTATAACAACTAGGGATGCAATAATTAACCGATTTCACTAATAACCACGCTTTAATTCGTCGTGGTTATTTTCCTCATTAAACCTTCTCAACACTGTTTCTGCTCGAAACAAAACTGCTGCGACCAAATAAAGTTATGCTAACTGTGCGCTAGTGTAAAGTCCAGATCTTGTATGCTGATTTTAACTATGGCTTGGCTATTAACTAAGGGCCGCTTACATATCCCGTCTTTTGCGAGTGCAGTTTCGTTATTTCCAATGGAGGCACGTTTGTTGTGTCGTATTGGTGACGTATGGAATACTGTTTCTGGGTCCAAGTCACTACTCATTTGAATTGGGAAAATATTCATCTATTTAGTCATATCACACATTAAAGTGAATTTTATAAAACATCATAGTGAACACATCGGTCTCTGGACTTGCTGCATTACAAATAACAAAATTTGGACAATTTATAAAAAAAATATCACTTTCCGGTCATCAGATATTAGGCATGGATATATACATTGCGATCGTGATTTTTGAAAGTATTACATCGCTTTGTAAACGTTTATCATTACCATTTGATGAGTCTCCCTGTACAGTTTTATAGAGCACTTGAACTTGGAAGCCACTTCGTGTGACGTCACACTTAACAAGCAGATTGGCAGCAACGTGCTCACACTTTCCAGGTGTACCTAGTTGAAAGAATTCTGCGAGCGCACTGCAAGTCACGTGACACTGAACTGACCTTTCAGCTTTTTACTTTGTATGGAATATACACATTTCTACTCCAAAGAGAAAAAAAATAAAAAATTCTGTGGCATAGTTGATCAAAAGTGCCTTTCAGACAGTGGTTCAGCTGTTTGTTTGTTTTTTGTTCAATGTTCAATTTGTTCTCTTTATACGGGAAATACATTGCTAATATTTTAGACATTAGACAAAGAAAATTATTTATTTATTTATCTATCTATTCATAGTTCTGTCATTTATTTTCAGTGTAAAATTGTTACTTAAAAATAAGTGAAAAAAGTTTTTGCATTTAAAGTCCAAAGAGAAATGGACCATTTTTTATTTATTTTTTAATTATTATTTTGTGATAAATCAATACTGAGCCACAATAAATAACACTTTAAAATATAAGTATTTTTCATGAGATTTGTCTTAAGTAGTTGTAATTTTTTGAAATTATTAAATACATAATAATCATGATAACCATGATTATTCCTCAGACTATAATCGTACAACCGAAATCTTTAATCAATGCATCCCTAATAACAACAATTACATATTAACATTAGAAACCCTATAAATATATTATGTTAAATGCAGGATTTTATTACTTTATCAAATGTGTTTTTTAACACAGGGTCAGCTAGGTTTATTTAAACATGCTGAGCACAACTGTACAACATGCAATACATTCTGAATCGTAATTACATGTCGAATGCTGCATTTCATCTTCCAAAAACAGACTTGTTTAATTCATTGTGAGAGGAAAGCTGCCATTTCTGACACACACTTTGGGGACTAGACCACATGGCACTGAAGTGCCGGAACGTAAAAGCAAAATCTTGTCTGTGACAGTGTGTGTATGCTGCATATTTGAAGAGCGTGTCTTTTCAGGTGCACTTGGGCGGAGGGATTTGGGTGGATGAGGAGAAATGGCACCAGCTACAACGGACACAGGGAGACTCCAAATTCACCAAAAACCTGGCGGTGATGATCTGGGGCACTGAAACCCTGAAGAACCGCAGCGTGACTGGTGTCGCTACAAAGAAGAAGAAAGATGCCCTGCCCAAACCACCGCTCTCACCAAGCAAGCTCAAAATTGTCAGAGGTAAATGCTTTGAAAGATTTATTTGTAGCTAAAATGGCATTAACAGGATAGTTCACCCAAAAACAAAAATGTACTCACTTTTTACTAACCCTTATGGGATTCTGAAACTTAAAGGAACACACCACTTTGTTTTTTCTCCACTAGAGCTAAACAGTAGTTTTAACATTTTGAAATCTATTTAGCCGATCTCCTCATGTGGTGGGAGCACTTTCAGCTTAGCTTAGCATAGGTAATTGAATCAGATTAGAATGTTAACATCTTGAAAAAAAATGACTAAAAAATTAACTTTTTAATTTAAAATTTTTTTTTATATAGTTTGAATCTTCTGTTGTTAGGTAGCATACTAGGACCGAATGGAAGTTTGATGATTTTCGGACACAGCTTAATATCATTGTGCCTGATACAGCTATGGTACGGTGATCAAGTTCCTTTTTATTATTAGGAGAGTATTGTTCCTAGCCACATCAGCCTAGAAAATGCCCATAGATATTTACACTAGATATCGCATACGGACCCTGAGCATGCGTCATTAGTGCCGCCACATTTGTACAGTGCTCCCACTACAAATGTCTTTCAACCTCACTAGTCTAGACTTAAGCCAATTTGAAGATGCTGGACTTTAGCGATGTATACGGGTGTAATAACGAGGAAACAAAGCACAAAGGCAGAACATTTTATTGGTAAGACTTCATTTTTTTACGCTTTGTTTCTATGTTAACAAACTTTTGTGCTAAACAAGTATTGATGGCAGTACAGTCTCTCACTGCACTGGCCATGAGGCAAAGTAGCAACCAACTTGGACTTAAAACTAGGCTTATGCTAGTTTTGTTGAATAAAATCAGCAAACATTCATTTATTTTCTTTTCGTCTTAGTCCCTTTATTAATCAGGGGTCGCCACAGCAGAATGAACCGCCAACTTATCCAGCATATGTTTTACACAGCGGATGCTCTTCCAGCTGCAACCCATCACTGGGAAACACCCATAGACACTCATTCACACACATACATTACGGACAATTTTAGCTTACCCAATTTACCTGTACCGCATGTCTTTGGACTGTGGGGAAAACCTAAGCAGCCGTAGAAAACCCTCGCGAACACAGGGAGAACATGCAAACTCCACACAAAAATGGCAACTCACCCTGAAGAGGCTCGAACCAGTGACCTTTTTGCTGTGAGGCGACAGCACTACCTGCAGTGCCAACCGCGCCGCCCAAAATCAGCAAACAATGTAAATAAAATATGACAACAAGATGCTGCGCTGCCAGAAACTTGTATTATTGTTGGCTAAGTGAACGAGTCGTTCATAACGAAGATTCATTCACAAACGAATCGCTCCCTCCATTAGAATTAAAAGGACATAGATTAGAGCAGATTTAACAGGAAGGGAAGATAACACATTTTCATGCACACAAACACACGATCTTTGTCGGCAATGCCTGTGCGATCACTTATCCATCAATGTAGAAAAGTACTGTAAAGTGCTCATTTTCATAATTTAAATAAATATATTTGTATATTAACCATCGGGAAAACTCCTGATCATAGATATATGTGTATATATCTGTGGCTCTGGATGGCCAGTGCTCCACTACACCTTGGTCCCACATTTTAAAAGAACGGTAGCACTGTACTAAAATGGCGGCTCTATTAATGCATTCATTCTAATAGACAACAATAGCGTAGGTGACATCTAGTGTATATATCTATGGAAAATACCAACTTTTCTTTATGTCATGAGTCCCAACCAATATAACTAAAAATAGAATCAAGTTTCAAGTTTGAAAATTCAACATGACAAACAATATTCAGCGATTTTTGAGGGAGATACTAATGGTCTAATTCAAGGCTGTCCAAAGTCAGTTCGGGAGGGCCGGTGTTCTGCATATTTTGGCTCCAACCTCAATTAAACACACCTGATCCAGCTAATCAAGCTATATCTAGGTATACTAGACACTTCCAGGGAGGTGTTTTGAAGGAAGTTGGAGCTAAACTATGCAGGACACCGGCCCTCCAGGACTGAGTTTGGACACCTCTGGTCTAATCTGATTAAAGCTGAAAGTGTTCCCACCAGATCGGTTGAATAGATTCAGAAATAGTAAAACTCAAATGTTTAACTCTGGAGGAGTTGTGCAATGAGAATATTTTCAAAAAAAGCTTATTTTTTCTGTTGAACATTAGAGGGTATTTTAAAGAAGGTCAGTAATCGATAATAATAAAGTACCATAATAGGAAAAATAAAGATTGTGCAAGGCTAACATTATAGTTTAATATAACTAAAGGACTCTCAGTAGATGATGATAGAATTTTCCGTTTTTGGTTAACTATCCTGTTAAAGACTAGGTTTAGATTAGATTACTAGTTTCGCCAATATAAATTGTATCATTTTCAGAATAAATTAAAACCGTCAGTGTTGAAACCTACAATTGTTTGAGTTATTATAAAGCCTTTAAATATTAATATAAAAAATCTATATATTATCATTGAAGGAAACCATCAGCAATCAAATAAAAAATGAAGCGAAAACTGCATTGCTAATTTCATAACAAATATTTAATTCCAGAGTGTCTGTACGACCGCGTTTCTCAAGAGACAGCCGACAGCGCAGAGATCACCCAGCGATTATCCAAAGTGAACAAATACATCTGCGAAAAGATCATGGATATCAACAAATCCATCAAGAACGAGGAACGGCGAGAATCCAAGCTCCTCATCCAGCAGACGGTGAAGATGGAGAACTTTCCGTACGACGGCCTGTAGGGGGTGCTGAAGTTGTCACCATAGCTCATTCTACTCCTCAAGGACTTCTGGTGGAGAAGGTGCACGTAATCACCGGCGCTGCCAATTGAGATTCCCACTGATGCCCTCCCAAGACCTCTCTGTCTTTTACTCTCGCAGCCCCTGTTTTACAGCCTGCCTGACAGTTTTACCTCGCTCCACGCTGCCTTTGCATGCCGGTGTGCATTCTGTGAGTGAATGGGGGTGGGTTTTTGTAAGCTTTGATTGGGAGGGGCGGGCTCGGATGTCATGTGTGATAGACAGGAGCCATCCTTTAAATAGCGTGCGAGAAAAATGTGTTTGGCACATCAGCTTGTGTTCTGTGTCAGAACATGTACTAAAGCGGTAAAGTCTTCTTGTTTCAGGGGAGTGTTTTTGGAGGTGTCATAAATGCTGGCTTAGAGGTGGAGTCTTTAAGGGGGAGGTAGGTCACTTCACAGGGACCATCTGGTAAAGGTACTTAACATAAAGAGTTGCACTTTTAAACAGGGTCACACCCTGCGTCGTCTTAATGAACGATTGATTTAATTAATCAATCTAGGCCTAATTGCTCCCGTTAATTGCTTTCCTGAGATGACTACTGATGGTCCGTTCTCGTTCGTGATGGTTGTTTGGGGTGGAGAGGTCGCATGTAGTCAGTGGTGCTAAACAGTTGTCCTGAAAGATGATTAAGTGATGTTTTTTCTTTAGTTTTTAAGAAATCAGCCACAATTTTTTTTCTCTTATTCTTTTAAAGGTAAATTTGGAGTTTTCATGATCATCCGTATATTATTTGGGCATCATAAAATATTGAATCACGCTTTATTTTGATAGTCCATTTGTTCAATTTAAGTTATATTGCATCTACATGCCAGCTAATTTTTATTAGATCATAAGTAGACTGTTAGATTAGGGTTAGGCTTAGTGTAAGTTGACATGTACTTTCATGTACTGTAAGTTTCTTATAGTCATTTAAATGTCTGTTTAGCAGCAGTATCTACAGATTTTAAGCAGACGGTCTACTAATACTCTATTGGACCATCAAAATAAAGTGTTACTAAATATTGACATTTTAACATATTTGTTTTTTTGGTTTTTTTTTTGACAGCAATAGTTGCAATATAGTTTGCTGAGGGTGTGTTTGCACTGGTACCTGGGGTTGTAACAATACTGGAATTCAGTACCAATCGATACTGAGGGTTTAAAAGCATTCCTTTCCCGCTGACATTTGAGCGCTACTGAGCACGTTCTTGAACGGCGCTGATTTGCCATCGTGTTCATGACTGTGATTGGCCGTGAAGATCATCAGTTTACCAAACTCACCACTGTTTACTGAGTTTAAGTACATATACAGAAACACTGGAGTGTTTCAAAGTCACGTCGATCAGCTGGTTTGTATATAAGCTGACATGATGACAAAATGCTCCAGTGTTCCTCTATCTGTGGTTACATTCAGTAAACAGCCGTGAACTTATGACCTTCACAGTCATTTCTGTTGAGCATGTAAACAACGGCAAATCAGCGCTGTTTAAGAACATGCTCAGTAGCGCTCGATTGTTAGCGGGAAATTGATGTTTTTAAAATTTCAGTATCGATTTCTACTGAATTCCAGTATCGTGCAACCCTACTGGTACCTTGGCTAGTTTAGGCCTCTGTATGAACGGTAGAGATGCACCGATAATAAGTTTCTCAACAAATATCCAAAGCCAGTTATTGAGAGTGATATCTGCCGATGCAGATACTGATAGCTTTGTGAATTTTTTTAAATGAATGACATTCATGACTGTATCACAGAGTGCTATCACTCATGCAGTCATGCTTGAGTCATTTATACTGGAAGCCAGAGGGCGTCCTCACGCAGAGTCTTAACAAGTGAGCCTGGAAAAGTCAATTTATCACATTCCAGCACAACAACAATAAATGCAGCTTTTACTGCAGCTGACATTCAGATATAGTTGCTTGATTGAACATGAAGACAAATACAACATTATGTGGTTTATCTGTGTTTTTCAATGCATCTAGTGTATTTTCATAAAAGGTTACAGTTAATGTTTCACAAAGTAATATATTTTCCATCTCGTTTTGGGATTAGTTGCTTTGATTATAGAAGGAGGTTATTTTAAGTAATAAACTTGTTATATAGTTACTTTGATTATAGAAGGAGGTTATTTTCAATAATATACTTGTTATATAGTTTATTTTGGAGCAAAAACATGGTTTTAAATCTCATAATACATAGTTGATGCTATGTTTAGCTAACAGCTGGCAGCTAGCTCTCTGCAACTCTCACATGGTTGTCCATTGAAGTTGTGCCTGGTCAGTACCTGGGTGGGAGACCACATTTAAAAGCCAGGTTGCTGCAGGAAGTGATGTTAGTGAGGCCAGCAGTGGTCTGTGTGGGTTCTAACGCCCCAGTACAGTGAAGGGAACTCTATACTGCTCAGTGAGCGCTGTCTTTCAGAGGAGGCGTTAAATCGAGATCGTGACTCTTTGTGGTCATTAAAAATCCCAGGATGAAGAGAGTAAAGGTTTAACCCTGGCATCCTGGCTAAAATTTGGCCACTGGTCTCTGCCCATTATGGCATCTTAACCATCCCCATATCGTAATTGGTTTCATCTCCTCTCTATCAATCAGCTGATGTGTGGTCAGGCGCAATATGGCTGCCATCGCGTCATGCAGGTGGATGCTGTATACTGGTGGTGGATGAGGAGATCCCACCAATGTGTTAGTAGTCTAGAGTAGTGCTATATAAATGTAAGGATTTTTTATTGTTATTATTATTAATAGGCTAGGAGGCCATTTTGTTACAATGAGATTTTTTTGACAAGCAAATCCGTGCAATATTGCTGGATATTTTTTTTCGGTGCATCTCTAACAATATATATAATGCCAAAACAGCCAACAGGTGGCAAGTATATTACAGTAATATTAATAATTTATATATTAACATAATTAATATGTTAAATAAAATTTGGTGTCCAAAGAAAATTTTCGATTTATTTTATGAAAAAAACTTTCAGCTCTAAAAAAAACAAGTATTTTAATGCCATATTTAAGCATAGCTGAGTTCTTATTCTTGGAGAATTAAAGACCTAGAGTTGACACCGGTGCAGTAAATAATGGTGTAAAGTTTGAAATAAGATTCTTGTAAACAACAAGAGCACATCCGATTTGATTTGAGTGAGCTTGATGGACTAGCCACGGGACAGGAGTTATTGTATTATCGGGTCTACAGAGATGAAGACCACCTAAGACCTTTTACCAGCCGTAAATTGCACTTGGGACGAAGGGTAAGTGGAAATCAGAGCAGAGCTGCAGGGCCTTTTTCCAGCTGGCAATCATTGGGAACTGTGTTCTCCGTTTTATAGCAAGCTGTGATTGTAATATGAGCTGATATTGCTTTAACTGCACTTTGGTGTGTGTGTTTGTGTGTGAGAGTGTGGAGAGATGCCAGGTGCCGTGTCTGGATGTGGGGGTAAAACTGTCAGCAGTGCCTGGGGGTTACACGTTTGCCTCATCTTTCTGTCCATGCCACCTGTAGAGGGCGCACTCATTAGGGGAGGAAATAAGATATCGTGACAACTTACAACAAGCCATGCCATCCACACTTTAGACCTTTTGTTTCCCCTTGTCGTCTTTAATTTCATCACAAACTGTGTGTGTGTGTGTTTGGCTTGTAACATAAGAAAACAGACACTTTGCAGATTTGGGTTCTTGACTGTGATGCCATATTGCTTACTGTGAATTAACCACAGATCTGCCACGCAAAAGCCTCCTTATTTGTTGTTCATTTAATAGCGGGGACAAATATTCAGTGAATATCTGAAATATTATCTCTCTTTTTTTTTTTTGTAACAATTTGTTGTTTGCATCCAGGCTGCACCTTATTTCACTAAGCTTTTGGTTCAAAACCGAGCAAGACAATGTTGTAGTTCTGTCTTTATCTTTGCTGGTTCATATATAGTTTCTAACCATTTGTACTTTTACAGTGTATATGTGACGTTTCGCTATTAACGTAGATCCTGGGTACTCCCGTGTTTCTCAAGGAAGGCAGGGCTCTTCACCAATGCATCATCTCTAATGACAGAAACCCATATCTTAAATTGTTACTATCGTGGATTTCTTACAGCAGGTATCTCGATGCTTCAAGAACTTCAATTTATGAATTTCACCTCACTGTGAGTCATTTGTTCTGGACTATCATTTCATTTGGAGTCATTTCCGTCGAGAGGCAGCCGTCTCCTGCCTTTCCGTTCCAAGGAATCATTGTCCATCTCTGACAACGTAGCACTTTAATCCTAAAGGAAAAAAAAGAATCCATCAGTGTTGGCTTCTTTTTGATTTACCCAAGCCAATTTATAAAAAGAAGTCAACATAAACATTTAACAATGCTTGCGAAAAGACATTCAGCAGAAAGCATATAAATCAGCTATCAGTTTTCTGTCACTCACTTCAGCAGTCGTTTGTTTCTCATTCTCTCGAGCCTGTGAAAGCGATTCTTTTTTTTTTTTCTTCTTCTTCTTTCTTACAGCAACGTACCTCCAATATGTCAAGGTAATTACGCAAGAGGACAGATTGTAATAAGGTTCTTTTGTTCCACTGAATGTCTTTCTCTTCTTCTTTTTTTTCTGTAGATATTTCCCGTATTGTGTGATAAGTATTGCCACACTTAGTGAATATTTGATGTTCCATAATGAGCGTACGTACTGTGCGGGTATACTGGAAAAAATATGAGAGCTTTAGGGTTGAACGATAGCCAAACTTTATCATCGGTCCATGTGGTCATACTCTTTATGTGGAGTTGAATTGTTGCCTTGAAAAAGACTTCAGCGTTATGTGTTGCTTTTTTTTTTTTTTTTTTCTTTGGCTGTGAGACTGGAATTGGGCGCAGTGGTGTTCAGATCTGAGGAAAATTAAAAATTAACAGTTTCTTCAGTTGCGAGATCAAACCAGTGAATCCCATCAGAGATAGTCAGACTTTTAAATACAATCATGTACAGTATTTATAGGCTAAAAAGCTACAAAACGGAAGCGTTGGCCTGTGTTTCTCTCTTCTGGGAGGTTGTGCTGAGGCTGGTGCCTATGCTTTTCAGTAGCGGTGCTTAGCTTTGACTTGGTCTGTGCCTCTGGAAAATGGCAAGTTCTGTGCAAAGCATGTGAGGGATCAACATATCCTCTTGAGTTGTCCTTGGTATATTTGTCAAGTTGAATGAAATTCATCCGATCTGAATGTGTGTTGGGGGTTTGTACTGTTTTGTTGAAAATAAGCCAAAGTGGAATCTCAAAAATGAAAGTTGCACAAAAATGGCCCCTTCTAAGGTTGTTAATGTTTAAAAAAAACAGGAAAGAAACAGGCGGAATATATTTTTACTGATAAAAAAGTTTTACAAAGTGTTGCTGTTGACATTTATGTTTTTTTTTTTTCATATCGAAAGAGCATTAGATAATAGATGTTTTTTTATGATGCCAAAAAAACAATTGAACGAGTGTTCTTGGGGAGAAAGAAAATAGTATTGCTTCAGTCTGCTTCACTAACCTACATTCTGAGAGATTGTCAATCAAACGCTGAGGACCCGCCTACAGCAATTCCCCAAAACTGCCCAGTATTCCGCTATAGCAAGAGTCGTACTTCTTTCGTAATCACAATAATAAAGGACCATACTCAGTCATTCTTATTTAGCAAACAATATTCTCAGCTCTACTAGTGAATGAAATGTATTTTTGATACAACAACAAGTTCAGGTTATTCTTAGTCTGGAAACAAGTATGTAGAGTCACAGTCCTACCTCATTGTCTCACCGTTCTCGTACCTCATTCAGAGATCTAAATTAGTCTGTGTGGTGTTGATTCATTTCACATTTTGGCTCCGTGGTAATCTTGCAGTGTTTC